CTAGACTGAAGAACAAAAACGACAGCAACTTGTCTGTTCCCCTTTCCCCAATTCCCCAGCACTGTTCCCATCCCCCCAATTTCCCAATAAAAAAACATCTTTAAAAAAAAAAAAAAAAAAAGGAAAAAAAGAGAGAAAAGAAAGTGGGATAAGGAGGGAGGCATGCCTTGAGTGCATAAATCCCTAACAGAGCACAGCCTGTCACTCAGTCATCAAGCCAGCCTGCTGGGGGGTTGACAACAGTGCCGGACAGGGACATTCACGGTGACAGTGGCAGGTGGGTCCAGCTCTGCTCCTCTGCAGCTCAGCTCTCTCTAGACTTGGGGACATTCCTCCTCTTTCCTAGTTCTGCCATGTTTGGGTGCCTATGAGCCTTACATTCACAAACCTGCAACACAGCAAATTAAGGCTGAAATACAGGCTATAAAGCCTCTTAGTACAACTACGTGGAGGCACACTGCTTGATCTATAACCTCTGAATGTATTTATCACACAATTGGTAACTTTCACCCTGGGGTTGTTTTCCTGAGCATTACTTTTTAAGTCTTAGGTTCAGAGTTTAGACACAAGTCATAGATTCTATGACATTTAATGGAATTTCACACTGTGGATTGAGGAATAACTCATATGCCAGCTTTCAGAATGTTAATTATTTCCATGCAAAAATCGAACATTTTTTTAAAAAGGGCATTTCGATAAAAGGAAATAATGGCCAAAAATAGCTGTACATTTTCAAATTCAATGAAAACTCTAAATTCACAGTCAACAAGTTCACTGAACCCAAAGCACAAGAAACTTGAAGAAAACTACACTAAGGCATATAATAGTCAAATTGCTTTACCCAATGTAAAAAGAAAAACCCTAAAAGAAGCCAGAGAAAAAAGCATAACGTACAGTGAAACAAAGGTAAGAATGACAGATTTCTTATCGGAAACAATGCATGCCAGAAGATAGTAAAGCAACACTTAAAATGCTTAAAGAAAAAAGACAACCTAGAATTTTATACTCCGTGAAATTCTTCCCAACTCATTCTGAGGGCAGTGTTGCCTGATTCTAAAACCAGACATAGACACTGCAAGAAAATAAAATTACAAATATACCTCATGCACACAGATGCAAAAATTCTTAATACAATATTAGTACACCAAATCTAACAATATCTAAAAACAATAACTCATGATCAAGTAAGTTTACCCCAAGAATGCAAAGGTGGTTTAATATCCAAAGATCAATTAATATAATTCACCATATTAATAGAATAACTAAGCAAGAAGACAAAACCATACAACCATCTCAGTTGCAACCACAAAATCCAATATCCATTCCTGATGGAAAACGGCTCCTCATTTCAGGGGTTGCCCCACCTGACACTTGGTCTCCTAGACACAGCCCCCTCAATTCCCACCAGGCTACATTCATGCCACCTGGCTGAGAATGTGTCTGTAAACCTCGGTTTGTCTATCTTTCTCTTTCCCTTAAAAATGTAACCAGGACTCTAAGAAAAGAGAAAAGACACCTACCAACAGTTCAGTTAATCTCAGCAGCATTTGCTTCTCTTGATCCTGGGTACTGTCGCTGTCTTGCTGACTACCGCTGAAAGACCCGATCAGCCACTTAACACAAGACCCCAGCAGAGTCTTTTTCCAGGCACGCAGCTCTTCTGCCGACCCTTCCAGGACTGCTGAGATGGCGTCGGCCACGATCCAACTGCAGCAGGACACAAAAGTCGAAGAGTTAGTGGGGATGGCCTAAACACCTCTAGCTTTAATACAACATAAGCCAGCGTCACGGTGGGCCATAGGCCCTGAGTCCTGCTCCCTGAGCTAACCCAGCACAGGAATCACACACTTCCCTTGCCTCTTACTCAAATTCTGCCATATCAAAGATGTACCAGAATTTTTATGACTAGGGAAAACAACATCAGCGCACCAGAAAAAGGACGTGTTGTCCAGACTTGGTCTAAATCAGGCTACCTCCACCTCAACAATACTGACATTTTGGGCCAAATAAGTCTTTTCTTGTGTGGGTGAGGAAGGTAAAGGGGAGCTGTCCTATGCATTTTTAGCAGCACCCTGACTTCCATACGCTTGAAGCCAGAAACGACACCCCCTTCCCCGACCCATGTTGTGATAAAAAATGTCAGAGATTGCTAGCTATGCCCGGGAGGGGGCAAAATCACTCCAGGGTGAGAACCACTCTCAGGTAATCAGAACCAGCCATCCACTTGTGGAGACGTACTCACTCCAGCCAGGATGGCTGAAAGAGTTCTTGTACGAATTGCCTTCTCACGATCTAGCACAAGAGCAATGCGGCAATTTCCCCCTGGCTTATAAATGCTACAGGGAGAAGTGAAGCCTAGACAGTGGTCATCAAACAATCGAAACCTTCGCACCTGCTGTAACCGTCTGGAGTCTGAAGCAAGCTGGGCAAACGGTCCACGAGAACACCAAGGTCCTTGGCTCTTGCAAACGGGACCAGCAGGGCAAGGATCTGCTGATGCAGCCCTGACTCTGGGGGTCCGTCAGCACTGAGAAGCCGGGTCTGCAGCCGCCTCCACACGGCCTTCCTCAAGACAGGGATGGCCGCAGAGGACACTGGGGCAGAGGTAAAAAGGACAGGGAGTCACAGAAGTGGTGAGCCGGAGCCAGTGCGTACCAGCTCACAAGAGCCGACAGTTACATTGTAGGAATCTTGTGACTGGGCGATGTCACACTGGTGGCTTGAAATTGGGCCTGTAAGTTGGCAAAGGCTACACGTTATTCTCCCCCCGGAGCCAGTGTTAAACATTCAGCAGAACACCAATGGTCACCGCTGACAGGGTCAGCCCTCTGACAGGGGCTCTTCAGCCCAGTGAGCCCCGGGTGAAACCCTTAGCCTGAAGCTCCTACGACCGTGAGCACCCAAGTCCTGGACGGGATTCACTCTTCGGAGGCTGGGGAACAGGGGAGCTACACGGAACAGGCGCATCGAGAAGCGCTGGCCACAAGGCCCCCTCCTGCGGGGTTCTCTTACTTTTTAAAAACATCCACCATCACTGACACGCAGTTAACATAAAACAGAGGCAAAGCAGTGAGTGAAAACTCATCCATATATGCAATAAAAAGGAGTTAAATTTGAGGTGATCAAAAAGTGCCTCGGATCTGAAACCTGAGGGGTAGAGAAAGCAGCTGGGCCCAAGCGGCCTCGACTCAGCCTCAACTCACCAACACTGCTGACAGTGGCGACAGCGGGAGGGGACAGGGGCGATTACCCCGCATGACTCCCTCAACCTAACAGGGCTCAGCCCCAGTGCTGACCCATCCTGGGCCCAAAGGGCACCAGCTACTGCCCACCCCTCGCCCAGCTCCACGTGGTAACTCGGAGTTGATGCGAGCACGGGGCCAACACCTCAAGCCACAGATGGCGAGTCTGGGGGAAGGGGTGTTGAGAGAATTTCTCATCTTTCTCAATCTCCAGAGCTGGGTCAGAAGCTGCAGGAGAAACAGAACTGAACCATCCGACTTAAAATTCCCAGCTGCCCAAAGCCACCCTTTCGCATACCTCCTGCTGGACGTGTGAACTGTCCCTGAGTCCTGTACTGCAGGTACACAAGGATGAGGGGGAGAAAGTCGTCGAGGCCCTCCTGCAGGCAGAGCTCCGTGCCAGCCTGCGTGCACCACAGCTCAAAACGCAGCAGGTGGGTACAGCCCCACTGCAGGAGCAGGGCAGCGATGCCCAGGGCAGCCTGCGTCCTCCGGGCCAAGCAGTAGTCGAGCAGGTCGACCCCGACCACGGGGGCCAGCACAGGCTCTCTCTGCAGAGAGTGGAAGAACACAGCATCGAGCTCATCCACAGCCAGCGTGGGGAGCAGGGCGCCCAGGCCTTTCACATACTCGGCGGCCCAGAGGAGCTCCCCATGCTGCAGCTGATCCTGGGGGCTGCTGGTCAACAGCTGGACCAGGGTCTTGCCAAGGACATTCAAGCGTCTCTCCTTCCCAGTGGACTTCGTGGGTCGCTGGGCCACCAGGTGGGCCTCGGACAGGCTCAGCAGGGCCAAGGTGACTTCTCGGATCTGGGCGCTCTCCATGTACACATGCAGCGCCTGCAGGGCCTCCAGCTGCAGAAGGGTCTTTGGTGGTGAGGTGGCCGCGCCCGCCCTCCTGTTTCGAAGCTCCTTCAACACGCTCTGGGTGATGGCCTCTGAGTACTTGGCCAGGAGGCCCAGCTGACCCATGCTGCGGAGGATCGGGGCACTCACGGCCAGCACCTGCAGGACCCCTGCGCTCAGGTGGGCCGCCAGACGCTTCACGAGGATGGGGCTGAGGGTGTGCGGAGGAAGGGCCCGCTGCTCCAGGGCCAGGTACCAGCCCTCCAGCGTGGGATGTCTCAGGATGGCCACGAGCACCTCCTCCAGTGTCTGAAACACAGTGACAAGGCACAGCCTCACAGGTGGCCCAGGACAGGAGGAAAGGGGCTGCAGCTGCTACGTCATGCCTTTGCTGTGGTGAGTAGGATGGAGAACAGAAAGCGGCTTCCTAAGCCCTTCCACCCCCAAGCCCGAGTTTCAATGTCCCTCAGGGGTGCCGCAGCGCCCCAACCCAAGCCCAGTCAAAGCTGTAACCCCACTGTAATGCATATCCTTCCCGTCACGGGCTGGACCGTGACTTGGTCAGTACCCCACCCAGACCAGCAGGTATCTGATGAATTCAACTTGAATGAATGTACTGTACAGCAAAACTGCTCTCCACAGTCCCTCAGTGCAGGGGACGGGCCATGCAGGGGAAACGCTGAAATGTGACTAAGATCCAGCATCTGATTCCTCCTTAGCAGCCCTGCCCTCCTACATGAATCTGGCTGAGAGAAGTGGGTACCAAATGACAACAGGGACACGGCGATCATAGCTGAGAGGGCCTGTGTGTGGGGAAGGTGCATCAGGATTACAGTGCCATGGAAATCCACAATCCAGAACTGAAGGCAATCTGTCTCCTCTTTCAGTGGGGAGCTGGGCCTCCCATGACCCCGAGAAACCAGCTCTGACCCTCCCACTGAGTTTAAACCACTGAGCAGAAAACAGCTGACTGCCCTGTGCTGAATTAGAGAATAATTTGATTAAGTCATTCTAAGAGGCCTTGTTGAACATGATCCCTAGTCAACGAAGTCACACTGGTCCCCAGGGATAGGAGTACATTTTCTTCCTTAATTACTCTGAAGGGAAGGGAAGAGAAGCCTATCACACTTTCTAACCGAGCTTGGCCAGTTAAAAAATGAAAAGCACGGGGCCATGTGAGGGCTGCTTTGTCCCAGGTCGACCGGCTAACAGGTGGTCCTGCACCAACGACATCCCCTCCAGGAAAGTCCACTGAGAGATGGAAGGAAGGAAGCCATGAAGTGAGGAACGTGCTTGCTTCCTGAAACCAGTAACACAGGCCAAATGGCAAATCGTATGAGAAAGATGGTCCTGGCCCATTAAGCAGCCTGCTGCAGATTAACCATAGGCGAGCAAGGCTCATCCTCGGAGCAGGAGTTTACTGTGCACATTGACTGTGCAAGGCCTCACCCACTGCCTGGCCTGTACTCAGCAGGCTGCAACTATTTCAGGGAAAAACAGTCACGCCGCGTTTCTCAAGATGCTCACAGCTCACGGTGTAAGGAAAATTGCTGTAGGGAGGGTAAGTGTGAGCACAGGGGGCTGCCTGGGACGATGAACGTGCAAATTACACTGTGCTGATATCTGGGTGAAGGGGTTGAGGTGGTCATCTTCTGCATTTCCCTACCGTGAACACATACTTGGTGTTAACACATTGTGGACCGTTGATGCAGAATTGCGTCTATATATTTAAATGCCTCATTCTCAATGTTAATCAGAAATGGAGGGAAAGCCCACATCTATGACTACAGGAAAAGGCTAGCAGGCAGGAGATGCATAGAAGCAAGTGGCAGTACCTTGTCATTGGCCAACTCCAGCAAGGCCATGGACTCCATGTCCAGAAAGAGGTCGGACTCGGCCTGCACGGCCTCGCACTTCCGCCGGTTCTGGGCATCCAGCTGCTCACAGTGGACGACCAGGCACCTGAGCAAGTCCAGGAAGAGCTGCAAGCGGGGAGGCCCCGCGCTTCTGCCCAGCTGAGAGGACGAGAGCCAGGGAAGGGCTAAGAGTCACCAAAAGTCACTGCCAGGTCCCTCCCTGACCAGAGGCGCGATGTCACCATTAAGATGGATGGAGGAGGGAGGCTGGCCAGAACGGCCACTGCTCATACAACGCTGATTGCTTCAAAGTCATTTCCCAATAAGATATGTCTTCCTAAATCCTGACGAAATACACAGGCGTATTTTGACCAAAATGATGGGGAAAGGCCCATTTCAAAACCTAATCTAAAAATCTGTCAACTATATCAGAGACAGAAATCTCACCAATGAACTACAGAATTAAAACTTATGAAGGAGGGGACGCCTGGCCATGCTGCGGTGTGTCTGCTGCGAAAAGGGCCCCATCCTGACTGACAGCTACCCCGGTGACAAGGTTTGGCTGCACTTAGCCTCTTGTCTGCAGCTGCTGAGAGATTCGCTGGGTTTACCACTAGCCTTAACCTGCCTCTGTGCTCCAGGGAGACGAGGCGGCCGGGCACGTAGGAGCACTCAACTAGCCGCCTGGGCGTTGAGTTGCAAGCTTGCCCTGCGGCCCTGTGCCTCAGGCCACCACCCTCCCAAGTGTGGAACGTGACCCCAGGACTCTTATCAGTGCTGTCAGTGGCTCTGGACCCAACTCGGAGAACGCTGTGTTGTCTGAGGCAGAGATCTGGGGGCAGCGCTGACCTGGCCGAAGTCCTCCACAGTGCTCCTCAGGTACAGCAGCACCTGTTTCACCGAGCGCAGGACCCGGTGCAGCGGGAGGCGGGGGAGGGCAGCCCGCAGCTGCTCCTGGACTTGCTCGTCCAGGAGCGCGCCCTCGCTCTCGTAGGCCGTCTGCAGCAGGGCGCCGAAGCAGGAGGCAGAGGGGTCCTGGGGGGCCAGGCTGCCCGGCGGCGTCTGAAGCGGCTTGGGGAGACAGCAACAGCCCCGGGAAGAGGAAAGACAAAGCACCACGGATGAAAAAGGCGCACGGCCTGGCAAGCAGGTACGGGGGCATTCACAACAAAGGGACATTTCACGGTAATCACATATTCACACTAAAAAATACGTGACCGCGTGGCCTGTAAGTAACTTAAGTCCTCATATTACCAGTCGTAAGTACTTTCCCAGAGTGTGTTAATGCGAAGGTCCTGACTCAGGGGGCACTTACACGGTTTGAGAACAGACACTGCCATCAAGGGCCACGTGTGACAGAGGTGATTTCACTCCAGGAGCCACTGTGATGAATCAATGGAAGCTGGGAAATCACACCCCGTAAGGGAGCCGGCTCTGTGAGCTCCAGGCCCTCCAAAGGCCCTCCCCCAGGAGCCTCGCTTGGCATAGCTCATTGTGGGGGGTAAGGAGGCAAATTTAAAGACCAGTCTGGAGTTGTTCATTTCCTCTGACGTAATTCCCAAACTGCCTTCTTTATTTACCCCTTGTGGCTTTCATTTTTGTAACTCCAAACACTCCGCTTCCTAAGGCCAATAAAACTCGGCTGTACGAGTCGGTGCCCTGAAACTCAGCAGGTCCCAAGGTGCGTCCCGGGACCAGCAGCAGCATCCCAGGGCACTTACTAGGATGCAAATTCCCGGGGCCCCTCAGACCTGCTGAATCAGGCTAGCGAGGGGTGGAGCCTCCAGGGAAACCCAGTGCACCCTCCAGGGCGAGGCCCACTGCTGTCACCTAGTCAACACAGCAGACGCACTTCGAGACCCACGAGTGCAGCCCTGCACTGCCAGAGCCTCCTTGAGCTGCTATATATGGCTGCAACCAATTCTTAACCCTGCTTTTCATGTGGAAACAGGGGGCAATACTTGTAAAGAGCGTGGGCTACGGATTGAAGTCAGAGCTCAGCACCCTATGAAAGAATGTTTCCCCACTGAAAGAAAATCCATTCTTCCTCCCTCCCTCCCTCCCTTTACTGTCCCAATGTTAGCAGAATGAAGCCTGCTGGGGGCCTGTGAGGCCAGGTCTGACAGCTGAGCACGAGAAGTTCAGGGCCATGCCAAGCAGGCCCAGGTCACTCAGTGAGGGGAAAAAACGGCAACCCCCTGCCCCAAAGCTGGAATGTAATTAGCCAACTATAAAGCAGCCAGAGGAAAATTCAATTCCACCGCACCACTGAGCCCTTTGTCTCAGCCCCCTCAGCTGGGCAGCCTGACACCACTTAGCTTCCCCCCTTACGCAGGGGAAATTAGCGTAGGAAATTTCACCCTACAAGCTGCACCCTGTAAAGTGACACAGCTGTGGCCCACAGGAAGACACAGCCGGGGTTTCCTAGGGAAGGCCTGGTTTCTGCAGGAGCAGGCACTGCCGCTGCAGCCCCAGCTCACCAAGGCCTCTCGGGCTGTCTCCGGGACCCAGAGGCTGTAGTATCTGTTGAACCGGGACAGCTGATGGCTGCGAGGTAGGACTGGAGGCTCCGACTTGTCATAAGCCTGGAGCAGAAGACACAGAGCCAGAGGGTCCCTCTGGGTGTGCAGGAGGTCCGTTAGCACTGCTGTCAGATACGTCACGACGCTTTCTCCTGCAAAGGAATGAGATGCGTGCTGGGACCAGCCTCCTGTGATCCATCAATAACACCAACTCCCTCTCACACATATTCAAGACTGGAAAAATTCATGCCGACTGCACGAGGGGTCACATAACCATTCTAAAAGGCAGATGCCACCACTGTGGGCCTCACAAGGCTCCGTTTTATTAAACAGTCGGAATTCAGGTCCCAAGACCCAGAAGTGGAGACCCAGGTAGAGAGAGAAGAGATGAAGCAAAGCCACCTGGGAGCAGGACTTGCTCAGTATTCATCAATCCCCTTCCTCTTCCTTGACACACAAGCCTCCCTTGCAGTTAGGCTGGGACCACATGACTGGTTTACCCCACTCCAGGCCTGGCCATACACCCCTGCGTGACTGTGCACTCTGTCTTGCATTTTCCCTGTGACCCTGGGAACCACAGGTGGCACTGGCACAGCTACAAGATAGGAGCAGCCTGAATCTCTATGCTAGCTGCCGGGGGACAGCCGCCCAGGAGGGCAACCTGGCCTGTACTGGACTATGAAAAGGCCCAGAAAGACACATTTCCACATGAAACCACTGACATTTGGGGGAGTGCTTTTTTGTTACTACAGCAAAGCCTGACCAATACTAATTACACTATTGTGATCTGTGAGCGCTTCCTCCAGTTGTCTGGATACTCAGCCAATACGAAAAACTCATACTTTAGCATCAAGATATCAGGAATAAATATTGAAAAGATCAGTGTTCTAGCAGGTGTCAGTGTGGCCATGCAAAAACATTATTTCAGATTCATCCTTCAAATGACTGATTTCCCAGCTTCGAGATTCCTATCTGCCCGCTTAGCTCTGCCACTTGGAGTGCTCACTGTGGTGGGTCTGAACGCCTGCTGCTCTGGGTTTTCAGCAATCATTTCCAGAGACCCTGGAATCCCACCTCCTACCCCACAGACACCCAGCTGGTCTGATGCGCCCACAACGTCCTGACTACACAAGGTACCTGCTGCATTTTCTGTCCCCAGGAGCAACTTATTCCTGGCTTCTAGGGCTGCGGGCACCACGGAGCTGAACGGGAATGTGAGCAGGGCCATGTCTTCGTTCAGTACCACTCCGATTTCCTCATCCAAGCCTTCGCTGCCTTCCACCAGGACGTCCACCATGTCAAGAACGTCTGAGACAGAGAGGCGGAGATCAAGCTGAGGCAAGAGCCAGCAAAGGGCTCTATTGCAAAGAACCCCACAGGGACGGAAGAGCAAGCGAGTGTGTGCAAAAGGAGGAAAAATAAACACCAAACTTCTCTTGGAGAAAAACGCTGAATACAAAGCTTGGTTCTACACAGATGAGGACCCTGCCTGTGAAACCTTAAGATCTTTGCCAGGATATCCAGCTCAGGTGATAACAGGGTGAAGTTTCCTCTGGGTGACACTGAGAAGCCCAGAAACTTTCACCTGGATATGCAGGCAAACGAGCCCAAATCTGCGAAGCCAACAGGTGGCAGGGTTAAAGCACAGAGCAGGGCCAGCGTGTCTGGATTCAAGCCCGGACTTTGCTACGCTGGCTGTGTGAGGTTGACCAGGTTACTTAACCTTTCTGTGCTCCAGCTGCCTTATCAATATATAAAATGAGAATAATACCCCTGCTTAGGGCTGTTAACGAGGTTATATACTTAAAGTCTGTAAAGAGCTTAGATCAGCACCTGGCATACAGTAAACACTGCACAAATAAAAATAAACCAGTAGATAAGCTCCGTAAGTATTTCCCATTACATGAACAAATATGGCAACTTTCACAGTAAGCTGACGTTTGACATAAAGAAATGGGGCATCTACACTCTGTGTAACCTCCAATGCAAATCTTTTTTCTTTCTCTAATATGCCACTGTGGCTCCATCTTCAGAACCCAAGGAGTGCAGGAGGACGCGGCACCTACCGTCGATGTGCGAGACGGGGATGCTGACGTCATCAGCGTCCTGCTTTGTCACACTGGCCTGCAGTGTGCTGGCTTCTTGAACAAAGTCAGATGCTTTGTCTGTGTACGAATAGGGATTGGCCACCAATGTCAGTAAAACCTGGGTATTAAAGAGCCAAGCGGTAAACAGTGAGATGGTCACAAATGAAACGACAAATGCCCCCAAATATCAATGGAAAAATAAAAGAGCTCAAATGTTAACAGGCCTTAATAAGAACAATAATTTTTCTGCAATTTTTAAAACTTTTTGTTGTAGAATTTAAAAAATATCTCCTTTTAGTGTGTGTGTGTGTGTGTGTGTGTGTGTGTATTATTGCTTTTAACATCGCTTTTAATATACCAATTTGCTCAAGCAAAACAAAATTCCTAAAAGGAAATTAAATAGCACATGGTGATAGATCCCCATTTTACAGATTCCAAAACTAAACAGCTTCTGACACGTCAGCCAGAATTAGGAAGTAAGGCAGGAAGGAGGCCTTTTGGCACCGGTGCATCTAAACGCCTGAATTACGCTGAGGGTCACCCAGAATTATCCTGAACATGCCCCTTTACACAGAAACCGTGCGCTTACACGTTCCAAAAACTGAATCACGGCCTCCTTTCTCTCTTCCACGGTGTCCTCTAAGTGCTCCAGCCACAGCTCCAGCTCCTTCCACGTGTACTCAAACACCCCCGTGTCCCGCAGGATCTGTCGGGAAGCAGGCGTCAGTGGGAAGGGCAGTACGGAGCCTGCTTTCTGGGGGAGTCGCCATGGTGTGTGCTCCAGCATGACACAGAGACCCAAGGAGCACAAAGGGGTGCAAGTTTCTTCTACAGTTTTACTTTAAAAGCTCTTCTTTCAAAACAATGCTCCCATTGTTGAGGGAAACAAGGAAAAGAGAGCATTCTGTGCTGGGGCAGAGAGAACATAATCCCTAGTCTTGCTGCCTACTCCTTTAACTCCTAAATAATAAAAAGAGGGAATGCCCAGCTAGCTGCTACTTAGGAGTCTGATTTTCTACCTGGCTTTTCACAAAGTTCCAGGTAAACGTGCATGACTTGACCCCTCCCAGGTACTCAACCAGGCTATCTGAAATTCTCCAAGGTAATGAACCTGTCACGTCACATCATCTCAAGACTCAGACCTGGGGCAAGGAGCACCCACCATTTCTAAGAGAACAGGATTTGTTATGAGGCAGGACTTGAACCTGTGGGGTTGACATCCTCAAAGGGCCTAATGACAGAGCTTGGGGTCTAAGCAGTCCCATAGCACGAGCCCTGCAGCAGAGTGTACCAACAGCATACCTGACTGTGCCAATTTCACGTATGCAGTTAGTGATCATGACACCTGGCTGGGGTCAAGTTCACACCTGCAATCTGTAAGGACATGGCTATGTACAGAGGTCAAGACCTAGACGTTCACATCCTTCAGGTAGCTCAGGTGAGGCTAAAGGGCAGCAAGATTATCAGCTCTTCAAAGAAAGGGAAAATCTTTGCACTCTAAATATTAACAAATGTGATTTCTGTAGCACTTCCCCCCCTCCCCCCCAAGATGTCTGCTGCCCAGCAGAAACAGGGAACGAATTTCCTACTGCTACAGCAAGACCTGATGTAGCCCTGGAAAATAAGTATAAAGCATAAGAAAGAGGAGAAGCAAAGAGCCAAACTCTTCATTTCCTTCCACTGACTTTGACGACACCTGCCCAGTGGGTGACAGATGAGGTCAAAAGGCTGGATGGAGATGAGGGAAAGAGGCATCGCCTATTAACCAATTCCCCAGAAAGCCAGAAATCTAATATACTGAGCCCACCATGTGTGAGGCACAACTTTATCACATGTAATCTCCTCTGCAACCTATGGCTTTATTATTCCCATTCACTATGGGAAAGCGAAATTCAGGGAGGTTACGTAATTTCTCCAAGCCACCCAAGAAGGACTCAAATCTAGGAACAGGCTGCAAAGTAAATGCTTTTCCCACTTGACCATGCTGTCCCCTCAGGAATGCAGCCAAGTTTGAGACACAATAAATTAAAACTGCCATAAAACCTTCTATTTCTAAATTACAATAGTCCTAAGACATCCTTAATTCAACAACTGTTGACTAAGCACCTACTTATAAGAAGGACTCTGCAAAATGCTTCCCAGAATTAGGAACTGGTAGAAAATGCTCACCTTTATGATCAGAAGCTTGGTTGATGACTTGAGTTGTAAATGGCTACTGGTCACAAACATTTTCATCAGTAAGTAAAACACGGATCGTTCTCCTCCAATAATTTCTGCCTCTGGGCCTTCCTGGAGTTTGAACAACAGAATAGAATGATATAAACATAACAGGCAGCTGTTTGCTGAGTAGACAGGTGCTGTGAGCCCAGTGTGCTTCCAAGCCTCTTACCCCATTTTAACTACAACTCGGCAAGACTGCTGGGGTTTATACACGAGGAGCCTCAGCAGTTAGGGAACTCACCCAAAACCCCCCAGAAGCCGTTGTAGTGATTATAAAGACTAGTAACAGGGAGCAACACGGTGGCCCTCTTCATATGCCAGGGCCATGCTCGCTTCTATCCATACACTGACTCTCTTTACCCTCCCAACAGTCCTGAGGTGGGGACGACTGTTATTCCCATTTTACAGATGTGGACAGCGAGGCACAAGGAGGTAACTGGCTGTTCAGGGGCCGAGCTGGGAATGCAGCCCAGGGAGCCCTGGTACAGACACAGCACCACCTGGTGGGGGTGGGGAAGGATGCGACTCAGGGCTGTCTGACTGTCACAGGCTGCGCTTGCTGTATTTCAGCAGGATGCTGGTGCTGACAACATCGATTCCTTATACATAATTTAGCTTCTTGCAAAGGATCTTGGGCTTTGAACATATGTCTCAGAGAAATACACAGAGCTCTAGCCTCCCAGCCCAAACTCCACTGAATCTGTCTCACCAGAGTGACGGACCCTGAAGCTTGTGGCAACGAGGACGACCCTGAACACGGCAAGTGCCGGGGTTCCTGGAGCCCAGCAGGGATACAGGATATAAACTAACATTTTAATACCAGATCTTTCAAAGCAAGAGGCTTCTGTTTACTTTCCAACTAAATCATCAAGCTCTCATTAGCCCTGTTCAGCTGGGGTAAAAAAAAACCTAAGTAACACCCCTGTCTTGTCATCTTGATGAGTCCATGGCCGTGACCTCATGGCGGGGAATAAAGGTTGACAGCTGGGCTCCGGGTCGCTGCCTGGGTCCGATCCTGGACCCTCCACTTCTGGCTGGCACCCTGCAGGAGTTTCCTAACCGCTCTGCGCTCCAGCTGCCTGTCTTTAAGTGGTTGTGAATGAGCTGACACAGCACCTTGTGTTTAAATACACAGGTCACATCTGTTGAATCTTGAGTTCCCTTTATGAGTCAACATTATGTTCTCCAAAAAGTCCTAGAAGACGTTATTAAAGGCACAGAAAAATGCCAGCAATCTTTACTGATTTTTCCACGAGTCTCAACCTTGGTATCTATTCCTATCTCTGTCTTAAGTTCTTCCAGGATGAGGACAAAAGAGAAGGAACACATTTTATTTTATTTTCCAAAAGGTTTTAAAACAACAAGAAAAATGTAAAATAGTCACGATAAAAAATACAAAAACTGCCAGTACCCAGCAACAATATATTTTCAGTAAGGACATGTTAACCGCCTTATTTTGCAGAGGCCTCCTGGCTCACGAATCAGGACCTCGCCTCTGCTCTGTCACTAAAGGAGAACCGTTAACATCTTCCTTCGTGCCTCCAACCCTGTCAGGGTCCTGTTTGTTCAGTTAGAAATTCCCAGGCCAAAAAGCCAGCAAGCCCTGAGGATCGCTAAGGACGGAAGGTGGCAGGGGGCTCTCTGCTTCCTACCTGGCCCTTTAACCACAAAAACTTGCTGGTGGGCAGGTCCAGGGCCACCTTCAGAATGTGGTGCTGCAGGATGGGAGGGACCTCCTCTCGAAGGCCCTGCTCTGAGATGACACCTGCGGGGAAAAGAGGGAAACAGGCAAGAAGCCATGAGGTGGTAGGTGCCTGGCCACTGCTGCCCCGGCCCCAAGGACCAGACGAGGCACTCCTCATCTAAACAGGAGGACGGGTGCAGGATTCCTCCTCCCCGGTCCATGGTCACCCTCACAGACTGTGCCCACCGCTCTGCCCAGACACACCTCACCTTCCCCTGTGAGGTCTGTCCAAATCCCTTACCAAGAATCCCGGATGCCACTTGCCCCGAGAAGCCTTCCCTGCCACTCGGCCCACCCTGGCCTCTTCCTACAGCTCGATGCCCTCACTGCACCCCATGCTGCCCTCCAGCTGCGGTCTCCCCTTAATGTCATGGGGCACGGGCCTTGCAAGCATTTTGCAAGCAGACTGTGGCCACCCAAGACTGGGTCCTTACCCTCTGGCCTGATTTCTGGGTTTCTCTTAGCTTGGGAAGGACACAGCTACTAAATGGCCACATTCTGGTAAATTTCCTATTCTCACAGCAAAGAGAACCTTTCACGTCAATTAAAAAGTTAACTGCAGCTTTGAATGCGTACTACCTCAATAGCTTATATAAATCCCAGAAATGGTATTTCCGCAGTTCTTCTTCTGTAGCCCGAATTATAGTCAATTTCATTAGACAAACCTTCCCATCAAGGAAACATGTACACAATGTTACGTGTACAAGATATGATTTGAACCTGACTCGCTGGGTAAAATATGAGGAAGTATGTTAGAAGTGCCTCTGCATGAACGGGAAATCCTTCTAAGGGGTTCTCGTTTCTGCTCCCTTCTGAAAAGAGGCTTTATACAATTAACATTACGATCTGATCTGTGGACAGTTCACAGCAGGCAACTCAAACTGGCTGGCTTCTCCATTCTCTCGCGCTGCTGCTGTGTTCATCTGGTATTTACATAAGGAAGACTGGCTATTTAAAAAATATCCGTCCAGACGAAAAGCAGCATGCCAGCCACACTGCCCGCCAAGCCTTCCTGGGCCCTGCTCTGGTTTACCCGCTTCCTCCGTCCTGCTGGCAGACACAGCGGAGGGGCGTCCACATCCCTCGAGACGCACCTTTCAGGAGCTTGCTGAAGTCGAAGTTGTACTGTGTGACCACATGCGGCACCGCCTTCTGGTAGAGGCATATGACCTGGAGCAGGACAGCTTTCAGAAGAACGGTTTCTGCATCGTCTGACCCAAAATAAAACAGCTTGAATTAGGAAACACACTGGCTCTTTGTCTTTCATCAGCAAGCGGTAAGCAATCAAGCCACCCGAGACCCAGCGCAGTCAACTGCACGCTGAGCAGGCAGACCCCACGGAACTAAATTTAAGGAGTGAATGTGGTGAAAAAGTCAGGGCTGTTCAAATAGCCCGGGTTTAAATCCCCATTTCACTGCTGTGACCTTGGACAGGTTAAAGCTACTCTGTCTCGCTGTGCTCCAGTGTTCTATGAATAACGGGGACATAGTAAAGCCTGCCCTTGCAGGGCCACGTAAGGATTAGTAGGATGTAGGTATGAGATACAAAGCCCATTGCCTGGCTGATAACAAGGTCTGAGTCGATGTATCTTCTCACCACGGGGGACCTTGCAGCCTGCCTCCCTCCCTCTGCACAGCAAAAACAAGGCAACCCGCTGACGGGCCTGAACAGAGCACCCGCCGCTCAAGTCTTTGGAGAGACAGCGTGTGTGTAAGGCTCGGGCACATGACTAATCATGTCAGAATTCACCCTGCGATTCCATTCTAATTCTTCTCTCCAAGCAAAGGACAGGATTCGCTCTCCTGTGTCAGCTCTGTCTGCAAACAGCAGATGCACGTGGAGCACTCACCGCACTGGGGAGTCACGCAGGCCGCAGGACTCCTGTTGCCCGTTTTCTTGCCTTTCTCGTCATCCTGTTTTGTCTCTTGTTTTCTAAGTGACTGCCAGACCCACACGATGGTGTTCAGGTCTGGTAAAATCTAAGAGAAAACAGAGAAACAAAAAAATGAGACACATTAAACAAGGAAGAGCAGTAAATGAGCTGAACCTACTAACAAGGAGAAGCACAGTATGGAGGGGAGGTGTAAGCACGTGTGTGTGAGTATGTAGAAAGAGGGGACGGAGGGCGAGGACAGGCCCACATCCTCTGTGAGCTCTGTTTTGAGGTGTCATTCTCAGAACTGTACACAATAAAGATTTGGTGAAAAAAACAAGTGCTGATAATTAAAGCAAACCCCTTAAGACTCATTTACCTGAGCAAGGCCCTGGGAACAAAGAAACACGTCCTTCTGACTGTCTGGGGGGACCTGCCCAGCGTGACCTCGGCTCTTCCAGGGCAGCTGGCCAGTCTGCAGATGACTGGCCTTCCTGATTTACCAGAATACACCACGAGGAGGAGGGAATAAGAGGGCTTCCCAGCTGCCCGGTGCCTGCCTGTGGCCCGTCCAGTGTGCGTGTACAGTGGCTGGGGGAGGGGACAGTGCACAACAGCTCCTGATGGCACTTAGTCCCCAGGAGCACCCCAACCTCTTCACTTCATACCCACCGTCTCTGCTCCCAAGATCAAGCCTTCTCCGCCTGGTGTGCTTACCTGTGACATCTGTAAGGAAAGCCTGGGAAGCTGATCTGGGAAGGCCACACCTGGCTTCCATGCCTACCTTGCTCAGGGCTTCTCTGAAGAGCCGCACAAAGTCTTCCATCATCGCAGCCGTGTACACGCCGGGTGCTTGCCACACCTCTTTATTCAGGCAGTAGTCAATAGTTTTCAATGCTCTCTTCAGAATGAAGGAAACAAGGGACAAAGCTGTGTGTTTCACTGATTTGCTGTCCAACTGGGAAGAAAACAGAGTCAAATCCACAAAGGTCTTCGGGCTGCACTGGTGGGCATTGCTCTCCCGAGCCCCAGGTTTGGCTGGCTCTCGTCCCTTCTCAGGTCACCCACAGGGAAGCCGTGCGAGATGGCTGGCCTCTACACTGCGAGAAGAGGCGGCCTGGGGGCCCGGCCCTCTTGACTCCCTGCAGATCTGACCTCAGCAGTTGCCGTGAAAGCGGTTACTAAAGGAAGGGTCTGAGAGTTTTTTATTTTTGTTTCATTGTCTGTTTTTGGTAAGCCTTCTCTGAAAACCACCAGCTCATATGGATTATCTGTACCAACAACAGCCAAGGTCTCACCAGACGCCAACCAGCTCCTAAAAAAGCTTTTCACGCCAGGTGGGGAGATGACAAGAAACAGCATCAGGTGGCTTAGTAGGAAAAGTCTCCTCCAGGCTCGGTAATCATGCAGCCCCTCATCCCCGGCCTCCAACACCCACACTCTCTACTTGTATTCAGAATGACAGCAGGAGGGTCTTCCCAATTCTCACTCACTGCAGGGACTGAAGAAGGTTCCAGAACCTGTGTTATTGCAAAACAGAGGGCAAGACAAGGCCCTGGCTAGTTGCAGTGCATTTCTGGGCGAGCAGCAGCGAGGGTATCTCCTGGGTGCTCAGGAGACGTGAACAATCTCAGGGCGCAGCCCAGGCCAACTCGACTGGTCTCGGCTGATTCCCGAGAACAGCCAAGTCTGGAAGCACCGGCTGGTGCTTAGATTTATAGCCAGATAGAAATGGAAAGGTTTTCTCATGGACTTGGAGTTTAATAACCAGGACACCTCATTCCAACATTCCAATTAGCAGGGTTTCATTTTATATGTACGCTGTACACTCAAGTAGCACTACATGAACCATCCTAAACCAATAATGACTTCCACCCCATAATCACGTCAGAGGCAGGGCCCCAACAAGTGTTCACATGTACACCTGACGGCCTGGAGCTCAAAGCTCAGCCAACAGCAGCCTGAGACTCCACCTCCAGACACCTTATTTCCTGTTTCTAAAATAAGCTAACTCTTTTCTCTGATTCTAAAATGTAGGCTATTAAAAATTCTCAGATAACATGCAAAGAATAAAAGAAAAACGTAAAAAACAAAAACAAAAACCAACCCTACACCCTCATAACCCCACTCCCTAGGTACACCTGAGTCCCTGGCCTCACTCATGGTAACAGTCACAGCTCGGAAAGGCCCGCCAAGAAGGCGAAGCTGTGGCCGCCCCTCGCCGGCCGCAGACTTGCACAGGACGGCGGCACTGGCAGGAGAGAAAGCCATGTCCTCTATCTCGTCCTGCAGCCACTCTGTCTGAAGGATAGAACTGCCTCTCCCAAAACAACACCATAAGTGGGAGACTCCAAGCTGCCCAGAGTCTGCCTGAAGGGAAGCACAGGTGCAGCCGGCTAGATAAAGCTGTTCTACTCCTAGAGGCGGCATCTGACATATTCCTTTCAATTCTACTTTCTTGCAAGCCCTTTGGGTTAAAATATTTTGTGCCTCCCACAAAACAAATGGGCAAGCTCGCTGGGTCCTAACTTTGGTTACTATGATTTGGCCACCAGAACAAAAGACCTTTCTGCCTGGTCCCACACAAGCTCCTTCTCTCTACTCCTCACCCCACTACCCACTCTGAGTGCAAACCCTGGATGGGTATCACCAGCTGCTTAATCTCACTGTGCAATCTGAGGCATCTTTGCCACGTTACAGTAACTGCCCTATCACCACTGGGCCACCACTCAGGCCTGTGCAACCCACCACGGCAGACCCTGGTCCTGCTCTGTTCACACAACCACCCAGCCTGCCCAGAAAGATGGGGACTCCATCTGCCCCAAAGAAACCCCAGGCCCTGCACCCCTCAGAATACCTGGCCAACCCCAGGTAGGTCTTGAGGCAACCTGGATGTAGGAGGGGCTGGCAGGGCCCGGGACCCACGTGTGCCATCAAGTCACAGCCCGTTCACCTACAGCCATGAGTCCCTCAGAATGTGGCTTCTGATGGGACTTGGGGACCTTTTATAATAAATAATGATATGCAATTGAAGGACTCATTTTTTTCCATGAACATACCCTCCAAAAATGCCTGAAACAGCTGGGTCTTCAAAGTACATGTTTCCCAGAAATCTTAACACTATTCACTTAAACCCTAATGGGGCAGCCAGTTAGCTCAGTTGTTAGAGCTCAGTGCTCATAACACCTAGGTTGGTGGTTCTACCCCCACATGGGTCACAGAGATGTGCCCTCCACAACTGGATTAAAGACAACTACTTGACTCGGAGCTGATGGGTCCTGGAAAAACACACTGCTCCCCAATAAAATAAAAAATAAAAAATATAAAACCCTAAAAGGAAGATTTGTGAGGCAAATTTCAGCCCTGCCCTGTCCAGAAATCCCAAACGAATGAGGCTTTGCTACTTGCCATTAGGCTGTGGCTGAACACTTTTCCTGATTCCGACACGCCCCATCGTCAGGCCTAGAGAGCGTGGAGGGATCCAGGGCTCTGGGCTCCGTGCTGGGGGTGCAGTCAGGCGCCCCACGCCCCGGGAGGAAGGGGCCTCTGGCTCCAGGGTCCCTTCCCTGGGACACAGAAAGCCCTGCAGGATCACTGACCAGCCGCAACCCAATACATCCAGGCCAGTGTTCTCAGAATGATCCCCAGCACTGCCAGCATGGTGCGCAGGAGAAAGTTCTAGAAGCAGGGTAGCCACTTACGTTTAACGCCTGGGTGAACATGGGCTTATTGCACACCGGAGGCACGGTGGTCACCATCACTATCGCCAGAAGCCGAGGCAAAGGGATAAACTCTCTGGTCTGAAAGGCCCGGGAAATGTCCGGCTGGGCCTCATAGATCTGTGAGGAGGAGAAAAGAAATGAGCTGGGGCCGGAGGTGAAATTTCAACCCTGAGGCTGACCCTAGGCACCCAACAGTGCAGCATTCCAATGGAGCAATCACTGGGATAAAATGCCCCAAGGAACAGGGGCCAGAAGATGAACCCCAAACCCACTTGTTAGAGACAAGTCAGGTCACGAGGCTGGCTGTTACCAGGGCAGTGGCCTTCGAAGCAGAGCTCAGCCTGCAGTCTGGTAGTCTCTTTTAAAACCTCAGGTGACAAGTCAGTCACTGCTAGAACTTACAACCATACTGCTCATCAGGTAGTGCTTGACAGGCACCTGTTATGCGACTTTTTCGGAGCTTCATGACAACCCTATGGAATAGGGGTATTTTATATGAAAAAGTTTACAGAGGGCAACATTAGACTTCAGTGAGGCTACGTCATTTCCCTAGGGGCTCACAGCTAGTGGACAGAGAAGCAGGACTCACACCCAGGCTGGTGAAGACCGTGTACTGGCACCTCCCCTTCCCTGGGAGACCCAAGGCAGGGCCTGACAGGTGCTGGCCACAGGGCTTCCTCCACCAAAATGAGGGCAAAGTGCCTCCTCCTCGTCCGAACATACACGTGGGGACTGCGCACGGAGGCACTCAAGAACAATGTAGAGAATACAAGAATGAAAGGTTGTTTTATGGATAATCCCATGCTCAGGTCGAGGCACAACAATCCCAGGTATTTCAGCAGTAGACAGGCCACAAATGATGGGGGGAGGGAGGGGGGAGGAAGAGGGGGAGAGGGTAAGGGGGGAAAGAAAGAGAGAGAGAGAGAGAGAAGAGAAAGAAAAGAAGGGAGAAGAGAGAAAGGGGGGAAGGAGAGAAAAGGGGGGAGGGAGAGAGAAAGGGGGGAAGGAGAGAGAAAGGGGGGGTGAAAAAAGGGGGGAAGGAGAGAGAAAGGGGGGAAGGAGAGAGAAAGGGGGGAGGGAGAGAGTGAGTTTAACAGAGTCAGGCAGGGCTGCCAAAGGGCTTGTACTAGTACTTCCATTGGCAGATGAGGGAATATTGACATCTGTGATCAGAAGGAAATTAATACACATCCACTCAAACCAAGAGATCGCCATGCTGCAGTTTATTTCAAGCTGTTCTAAATACTTGAAACAGCAATCTTTAAAAGCTATCCTACAATTCAGACATTTCCCTAATTCCGACCTAACTCTGCTGAAACTCGTTAAGATGTCATTCTATAAAAAATCTGGGTAAAGAAGATGAAATTGGCTCAAAAGATTAAACAGCATGAACCTCCAAGTTCAGCTCAGTGAACAGCAGAATGTCCCAGCAGATAAGGACACCAAATTTATGTGATTTCAAACGTCCCCTGAAGAACAAGAACGGCTGAAAGTTCTTCACACTGTAGTTTGTCTGACTGCCAGTCCCCCTCTCCCCTGCCTGTACCCCCCAGTCCTTACCCTCAGCCCCCACCCTATCTAACAGACTCTGAAATGCCCATGACTTTCACCTTGTTTAGAAGCTTGATATTATTTGACCAAGTGGACTTCGCTCTTGGGAGAAAGGAAAACGTCACTTCTTTGAAGTATTTGTTCAGTAGGTCGGGGCACACTTTGAGGATGTTTACCACAAGTTCAGCCACCAGCTCATCATTTGTTGCAGTTTTCAAACCCAACAGGAAGTGCAGGAGTGTCAGGTTTCCTCCTCTGCCAGAGAAGGAGAGAGAGGGGTCAGCAGGGAATCGTCACAACACACTGAGAGCTCAAGATAACGATGGAATCGCCCTCGGTACACACAGGTGTAAACACAGACATCTGGCAAATTTCATCTTTGGTACATTTCCCTGGGGGCAGGAAGCAGGGTGTTTTCCTGGCCTGTGGGGTTCCAGCTCTCCATCCAAAGGCTTCAGTTTCACGTTTCTACTTCTGATTGGCTGAACAAGCCTCTTCTTTGGTTCTTCACCTCCCCTTCCCTCGGAGTTCCGGACTCGCAAAGAAGAGGAAGAGACCCATTCTCCCTGTCCAGCCGCCACCTACCAGCAGTCCTAGCAGTCAGGGCAGCATAAAGAAAGGGCCCATCAGCAGGGAGACGTCCACACCCCAAATTTCATTTTGAGACTTTACTGACCTCTTTCTTCCAACACACATGAAAAGGTGTGTATGTAAATAAATATGTGTGTGCGCATACGTAGCAAAACTGCAGAGAATCCATCTCTGTTTTGAAAAGATGAAGGGTTTTTTACACGGAATGCTCAAAAATTGCCACACAGTCCATAAAGCGGTAAATTACTTCTAAGTCTTTTCACAGATCTTCTGCTTCCTCTGTTTCTAGCTTATTTCAAATTCCTATGCCTTCACTTGCCAGCTGAAAGAAGCTAATATAGTGGGAAAAAAATCTGTATGAATATATTCAAAACTTGTCTCAATATGGGCAGTTTTCAAGAACAAGATAAAAAGAAGCCTGAGAACCTATGGATATTAAAACTTGCAGAAAGGGAGCAACTAGCCCAGGATCTGCACACCCCAAACCGCAGGCCTCTGGGTTTTACGCCTGGAGGCCTTCTAAGAAAAGAGGCCTTTTCATATCTGCTCGACTCTGTGAAGTCTTAAAAACCAGAAAAACCTGAGAATTTGCCTCATTTGCATCCATGCTGCTGGTTTCTAGGACCCTCACAGTTTTGTGTCCCCTTATAAACTGACTGAAACTAGAAGCTATATGACAGCATTCCATATAATAAAAATCTTCAAAAAATAAATTAGAAAGGATACTTTTGATCAGAAAGCTATCCTTTTAAAAGCTTAAAATTCTTAATATGAAAAATTCATAAGCAAAGCAATAGTTTATGCTGTCAAATGAATGGAACATTAAATCTACAAAGAGTGCTAAAAATACTACACACACATACACACAAGAGCTAGTTCAATCAACAATGTAATAAAAAGAATAGCACTTCTATTATGTCGTGTGCAATACATGCCACACTGCTCTGAACAGTTACCACGCTCTACCTCTCTCTGAAGCAGGTATTAATTTTATTTCCACCTTACATGTAAGGCACTGGAGTAAGAGAGATAGTAACCTGCTCAAGCTCTCAGAGCTCACCCCAGAATTTGTTCCCTTAACCTCCACACCAGGGGTCGGCACACCGTACCCCACTGTCTGTCTCGTAGATGAAGCTTTATTGGAAAGTTACACCCGCTGGTTTATGTCCACAGCTTGTTTGGTACTACGATGGCGCGGCTGCGTGGTCACAATAGAGGCGTATGGCCCGCCAAGCTTAGAATACTTACCATCTGGCCCTTTAGAGAAAAAGTTCGCCAACCCTTGCCTACCCTATAATGCCTTGCTCTCATCAAACACCTACTATGTGCCGGGCACTGCCGAACAGCCTCTGTTCTGGTTCTCACTCAGCAATAAACAAACAACGAAAAAAACACACAAGGTAGTGATAAGTCAGTCAGAAGCAAGAGCCACGCAAAAGGAAGGTGACAGGGAAGGACTATTTCAGAAAGGGCTGACAGGGAAAGTCGGTGACATTGGCATGGAGACCTGAATGACGCGCGGGAGTGAGACTTATGAGGACTGGGGAACCACGTGATTCAATGTCCTCTACGCTTTCCAGTCATGTCCCCACAAACAAAATTCCCTTCCTCTCCCCAAGGATAAACATTTGTCTTTTGCCCACGGCTTCAAAAATTTGTGTAAACCACAGCTTATTTAAACAGACCCACACCCATAAGTTGATTCAATATGCTTATTTAATGATCATCTATTATATGGATCTACTTAAGGGGAAAAAATGTGTGTGATTTAAGCACAGTATTACATTATAATAGACTGTAAGTCTGCTATTACATTTTAGTAGGAAAACAAGCTTATTCTAACTGACAAGAAAAAGAGATGATGTGGCAAGTTAAATCACAATAATCTCAGAGTCAAAACAAATCCAAAGTTACAAGCGGGGAGCAAAATTCCCACCATGTATCCCATTCTGAAGGCATCAGCTACTTCCTGACTAGATAAAACTAAATTAAACCATCTAGATCCTTATAATAAAATGCCAAGGGGGTAAAAAGTAAGAGTCTTTCACAATGACCAGAAAATATGTCCAATATTTTTCACTGTCACATGGAAAAAAGCAAGTTGGTGAACAACATCTCTAACAGTAGGTCATTTGGGTTATTAAAAAAAAATAACATGGATTATATTATAATTACACGACTACAAAGTCTAATAGAATACAACCTAAACTATTAGCTTTGGATTATATATGAAATATTATCATAATTATGAAACATGAAGCAAAATGTATAAACAAAATTTTGAAATCCTAACTGGTGAGCAGCCGTAACTGTGGAGAGGGGGACCTCTTCGCTGTTACGAGCATGAGCTTAGAATCGGATTTCCTGGGATCACACAAGCTCTGCCACACACAGGAGTGACCTGACCTCTCTGTGCCCATTTCCCTCCTCTGCAAACCTGGAATAACAATGGTACCACCTCAGGACTGTGGTAAGGCCCATTTCAGGGCCTGTCCTATGCAGGAAGGTGGATGTAAGACTTATTCTCAGGCCCAGCCTACCAGTGAACACACAGCACCTCGCTGGGTGAGAGATACCAGACCTCTGTGTCTCCGTCAGTGGCTACCCTCAAGGGCACATAATGACTAGAATTTCTCCAGGGATCCAACTGCTATGTTTCTAGCTCTAACCCACTACAATTCCATCATTTAACAGATTCCCACTGGACAGTCATGGACCTCTGAGAAACACACCCTCGGGATTCACAAGAGTGTTACACTTTACCTGCCGAAGGTACCCAAAGATGCATCATAAAAATTAATCCCATGCTTGAGCGAACAGCAAAGATCCACCAGGAAGTGATGCACCAGCTCCCTCATCATGGTTCTCCCTGCATCTTCAGCAGAAGCCTACGAGGGTTTTAAAAAATTCAATGAAAATCCCAAGTTCATAAACCTTAGTAATAGCTATAGAGTAAAAATGACAATATCACATTCCTAATGACAACTTAGAAAACATTTTAAATTAACCACTTGGTATCATTTAAAAAAAAAAACCAAAACACCAATCAAAATTAAAAAGTACTCATATGAGGAGCAAGTTTAAATCTGTTTTTTTTTTTAAACAAGCTTAAGAATGACTTATTCTCTCTTGCCTTTTCCAATAAAATTCCACATTTGGGAGTGTTTTTATTAAGGCCCTGAGGCTTCCTGGTAATAGAGTGCACAAAACACGTTCAAAACAAGAGAACATGGGCAAGTCACAAAGATAAAAGGAAGTGAAACAGAGGGCTCTTGAGAGGTAATTATTATCAAGTTAACAGGAAGTCTGAGCCTTCACTATTCTGGCCAAGTCCATGTTCAGAAACACCCTGAGGAATTTCAAAATGAGGAGAATTAAAAAGGTCCATTGGCCTTGGGTCAACGTGAGCCACCGATCTAATTTAGCATTTTAGCAACTTCTACAAAATGAATTATAATGTCAGTAGGTAAGGAAATTAGGGTTCCCTAGATGTTTAGGACCCTGCATTAAAAGCAACAAGCCTTAAAACTCCAAAAGGGAGATTCAAAAACAATGGAAGAGAAGAAAGGAAGACGTAAATCAGAGGAGGGGAGCCTGGTGAACCCTGTAATCCCACTGGGAAAGCACTGCAGGGAATGAAGATGTCCTCAGATAAAGGGAACAGTTTTCTGGTTAAAAAAAAAAAAGGTTTAATATCATGATACCTCAGAGGCTAGAAAAAATCTTATTGTAACAATAAAATTTTAAAAACCATATTGCATCTAAGTGGAAAACTAATATAACCACAAGCCAAAAGCAGCAGATCAAATGGAGGGGCTTTTTAAGGGCAGGTGTGATGTTTAGTCTCCAGTCTCCCAGCTGTGAGGATCACACACTGACGGTGAGGCCACAGGAAACCCAAACACGAGTGTACCTCGGTATTTTCCAGGTCCACATCAACAATCCCATTCCAGCTGTAGAGAGATGCTATATGGTTCAGTAACTGCCCGGTGAAGAAACGCACCTTCTGGGTTTTGGTGATATTTTTATTGTGAACTACCTGAAAACAATAAAAATGAATTTCAAGGAATTCAATTTTTAAAATAGTATTTTCATCATTATAAAAATAATGTAGGTTTAGAGCAAAATATTTGGTCACAAAAAAGGAAAAAATATGAAGAGAAAAACAAAATCCACCAATATTCCCACCATCCAAGGATACCTAGTTAACATCTTGGTATATTTCCTTTTGGCCTTCCCCGACCCACACGATATACGTACATACCTATGTATGGGAAGGGGGTTTTGCGGCTTTGAGATTATATTTATATATAGTTTCGCGCCTGCTTTTACATACGTAGCATGAGCTTTTCCCATACTATTAAAAATTCCTTTAGAACACTGTTTGAAGGGCTATCATTCTGTCCTATGAGTGACCATAACTTAACTTAACCATCCCCGGGTGTATACAGCTCTGGCTATACAAAGTCTTCACTGTGTCCCTCACTGTGGACTTGGGACTGTGGCACAAGTCCTGAGCTCCACCCACACCTAGCCCCTGCATCTCTGGAGGTTTATGTGCCTCACTTGAGTTTCCGAGGTAGTTCTGTGGCAAGCCCCACCCCCGCCCCACTCCCAAGTCTATAAACATTTTTAAGACCTCTGACACACTGCCAGGCCTGGTCTCCCGGAGGGTTGTAACACTTCCTCCAGCAAAGTACTTGATTCAAAGCATCTTTGCTAGCACCAAATATCACTGTTTTAAAAAGTCAAGGCTAATCTGGTAGGCAAAAAAGCCGTATCTCATTAATTCATTACTTTAAATCAGGGCTTCTCATCAGCATTACTAACATTTGGGACTAATGACTATTGCGGGGGGGCTGTCCTGTGCATTGTAGGGTGTTGAGCAGCATTCCTGGTCTCCACCTACCCAATGCTGGTTGCACTTCCCCAGTTTTGACAACCAAAAATGTCTCCAGACATTGCCAAATGTCCCACGGGGGGCAAAATCACCCCCCAGTTGAGAACCACTTGTTTAAGTATTCTAATAACTAGCCATTTGTATGTGGATTGTCAGCTCATGGCCTTTTGACAACTTTTTATATTGGAAGGGTCACAGAATTTTTTTCATTGATTGTTCAAGGTACTTAGGTATTAAAGACAGGGATCCTTTCAGCAAGTTTTAAAATTTCTGTAAGATGCTTGAAAAGGCAATATGCAAGATGACACAAAACAACATGCGTAAATGAAGAACAGTTGTCATTTATAGCCCATAATTACTCCAATGGCTCCCTGTGAAATAGTGGCCGGCAGCTTTGCTCCTGCTGTGAGAAGGCAGCCCTGCCTCCACTAAGTGGCTGCTTCAGCCACTCTGACCTTCAGGATGGCTTGTCGCCACCAAGTTTCTGCTGAAGAAACAGTTTCCCATTCAACCTACGTAATGACCCATGTCACTTAAATGTTAAAGCTCCTGGGTCCTGTAAAACACTGGAGAAAACAAACAACAGAAACGCTGATTACCAACCACGTACCTTTGTTTGCAGGGTGGATAACAAAATATTGACAGTAGAAATCCTATCTTCCTTTATGCCTGAGCTAAAAATGCAAGGAATAAATTCTGAAAGTAAAAGTTTCAAAGCATTAAACTCAAGAATATTTTGAACATGAGAAGATATGAGAGAACATTACTTCTTAAATAGTATGGCAAACAATTCCATTTACTTTCTTGTTTTGTTTAAGTTTTGTCTTTTTTAATCATACAAGTTCACAGTAGGAATGACCACTTCGTGACAAAGAAAATCAAGCTCTACCGCTAAAATGATGGTTAAAGAACGATTAAAGACGTTCCGTAGCTCTTCAGTTCTGTTTTAGATTCCATTTCTCACTTTAAACTTAAGTAAAATAATTTGATGCTGACTCTCTGAAAGAGAATATATGTTATGATTATAGTTTTCCAAAGTTGCTCACTTGCTCAGAGAGATATTTAAAACGATGCTCATTGTTTCATTGGCTGGTGGTAGAACTTGGGGTGATTTGTTTGCTTTCTTTTCATACTTTTAGGTCCCCAGGTAACCAGCCACCGCACGCAGATGGATTCTGTATCATCACCAATAGACTGGTGATACTGAGCACAGCATCAAAGCAATTACAACTTCATATGCTTAATGGGCACACATGATTTCTATAAAAGCAAACTCATTATTTAAAAAAAAAACACAAAAAAAAACCCAAAAAAGAGCCTGAAAATACCAAACAAACCAAAAGAATGAAATTTAAAATCCACCGTAACCCCACTACCCAGAGGTTAACTCCCAGGTTACCGGTTAACTGCTAGCCTTCTGATATATCCACTCTGTTATATTTAACTTTTAGTAAACTAGGTTCACACGGCACAGTTTTATAACTGAGTTTATACCCAATCATATATTGTTAAAAAGTCTGATGTCAGCAAGGATATTCTGACGTCAGCTGCATTCTACCTTAGGACCCGTCCTCAACTGGCTCAGTTACTCCACTGCTGGTGGACAGTTAGCTAATTCTCAGCTAATATGGAAAAATAGCCCCTAACCAAACTTCTACTCACATCCTTGATTATTATATTTCCTTAGGATGAATGAGCAGACATGGAATCGCTGGATCCCACATTTTAAACGTCCCACGCCTGAGGCCAGATGGCCTGCAGACACTAACCGAGTTGCCTCGCTGCCCCCTCCAGCAGTGCAGATGAAGAACCCCAAAGCATGTCCTTTCATAAAAGGCCGATGGCTGTGATGACCCAGGGGAACTCTGAAGAAACTCCTCGCCCTGAGACAGCAGGACATCCCACATGGGACCTGGCAACAAGCAGGACTGCCCACTGCACTAGGCAAACAAAGCGTCTCCTCTACGGGGCTGCCCCCACGGCAGCGGTGGGGCTATCTGCACGGGCCGGGGCGGGAGCAGACAGGGTGACCGCCGCCCACACCCTGCTCTTAAATGGTCCCCGCCAGTCATGTTCTGGAGAGCAGTCAGGCCTTCCACCCTGGGGGATGTACAAGGGCTGGAGCCCGATCACACTGGGCACGCTGCCATCCTCCTCCTCAGCTCCCAGATGCGGCCGGGACACGAACCGCTGCTCAGCTGCAGGCTCCGGGCACCTTACTGACCAACTGCCATGTAAGCACGGCTAGGTGCTGTCACTTACCACTTTACTGAGCCTCCTGGTAAAATGCAAGTGGCCCTAAAAGGTTAAACTATGCCCAGCCCTGCTGTAGGGAGACAGCCACAGAAGGCGACCAGCTGGAATTCCTTAGAGCGCTATTACTGATATTCTGGTAACACTAGGCAAAGCCACCAAAGCAATTAAACTGTATTTTTTAAACACTATTACTAAGGAAGACCAGGTCGCCAGGGCAATGACTCTGTATGCTCTGGGCCCATAAAAGCCCCTTTGTTCGCACGAGTCTCTGAAGTCTGCATTTATCCTTTGTTGGTACATTGCCCAGCATTCCGGACAGCGTCACAGGATACCTCTGTCCGCGCTGAGCACGATAGCAACACTGCATGGACCGAGGCTTTGCCACCCACACATCCTTCCTCCTAGTGTGCTCGGCAGCGGCCAAGGCCGCAGACGTCTCCTGCGGTAGATTTTTCCAAACAGTCGGACAGGCTTTGCTACCAGATGGGCGCACCTACCTTTCACCTCCAGTACTTGCACCACGGTGCTGTCATCACCGGCAATCAGAAAGGAGAGTGCAAACTGGATGTAGGCCAGCCGGACGTCGTGCACTCCCTGGGGACAAAGGAGACCACGTGTCACATGCGTGTCCACACACCCAGGCGGCAGGAACACAGCACAACACACACCCCTCCTGTCCCAATGGCACGAAGGCCCCCGAGGCTGGTGCCATCAGAGGGCTCAAGCCTGAAACCAATGGTCATTTCTTTATGGAAACCAAGGGATTTTTCTTTGCTCTTTCCCTCTCAATCTACTTTTCCATCTCTTTCAAGCTCTTTTTAAATACAAAGTGTGGGTAAAATGCAGTCGTGTCCCCTTCCTTGGCTGTAATACATAAGCATTTTTAGTTTACAGACCACTTTGCTATAAGAACAGAAGATCCTCAGCCATCTAGATATCATCTACTCTCACTTGCCAATGAAATAATATATCTATGTTTTTGAAAACCCAGAGATAAAGACTGGTGATGCTTTTGATTAGGTGCCAATGAGGTGATGTCTGATTTTTATTAGATATTATAAATTTACACCAGACACCAAAGCACAGATGCTGTCATATTACAAACCCAGCGTGGCCTTCCCAGGATTGCAATCTGTACTGTCCTGTAGGTGTCAGCCACAGCCCAGGGCAGTGGCCATCCTCGGTGAGGGCTCTGTGGCATTTCCATTTCACTTTTCTCAAGGTGCAAGGACGATACTTGGCATCATGTGCGCCTCTATGTGAGTATGTAATTAATTCTGTCTTGTTTCGCTGGGCACCTGTTTCATCTGACCCATGCTCTATAAAGTGTGGATGGAGGCCTTGCACATTCGTTCTGTTTATGGAGTCTCTCTCTGCATTCATATCACACAGCATTTCAGCAAGACTGGTTAGACCAATGCTGCTTTATTCCAAATACACTAAGAGCTCCAAGCTCTGCTCTCCTCTCCATTCTGGGGACTAATATGTAGGCCTCTTCACAATATGGAGTTTGGGTACCATGACAGCTCAAGTCTTGAAAATGAGCTGCATTTCCTTAGTGTGTCTGCAATGCTCCAATGCCTTCACTCACCAATTCCATGTTTATAAAACACCAATAACATTCAAGGTGCCATAATATCGGGTTGAGAGAGGATGCAAAGCGTACTACAATACTGTCCCTGTCCTTAGGAAACTTAGAGTAACAACTGCCACCACCTCTCTGGATGCCTCATCGTTCAAAGAAATGCGTCAACCTCATTCAGGTGCGGTTAACTTGTGCCCTGGTCTACATATGCCTTGTGATTCAAAAGAATGCTGATAAAATGCTAACCCTTGCCTGGTCAAATTAAATTAGGTTTGATCTTTTCCCAGCAAGTCTGAAAGGTTCCACAAGTTTGGAGGCTTTTTTGTCCCACTTAAGTATGGGGAGTCAGGGCCCTGGTAGTCCCAGGTATCTGCCATTCTAGATCTTTTTATCCTGCTTGAACATAGCAGAGTTGGACTAGATCCTCTGGCGGGTCCCTCCAGCAATGAATTTAGTGTTCATCTCCTGGCATCCATCTTGTATACTCCAGTCAACCCAATTTCAGATTCCTGCCACTGTGGAGAAACAAAACCTCCAAGACACAGCATCTGCTCCCACTCCAAGCAGCAGTGGCCATGGCTCCCACTCCCACCTGACCAGACAGTCCCTCACTGTCCCCTGGGCCCCACCCTCTATCTCAGCAAACTCCATCAAAGGCAAGAGGGCCACACGCCTACTCCTCATTCCTACCCTGTGACTTCACAGGGCTATTATCCCAGGAAGAAAGCATCCCGAACGCTACAGCTTGTTCCAAAACACTGCCTAAAATAGACCAAAACATATTTGGTAAAACTGCTCTTCACACAGGGTTTTTAACAATGCTTTCTTTGGCAGGATGAAAATATCCATAATCCTCTCTTTACAAGGCTTTAATAATTCCCCCTTCAAATGTTAGAAACACACTCATTAAAAAAATATATATATATCTATCAGCTTCTTCAATAACTAAATGGCATGGAAAAAAAGTGTGTGTGGGGGGGTGGGAGCAGAGAACTCAATGATGCAAAGAAGTTTAAGAAACTCATCCACGAAACACAATGTGTGGCCCTGGTCTGGATCCTGATTTGCACCACAAAGGGTAAAGACATGTTTGAGACAGATGCGGGCAAAAGAGACTGAACTGGGCCTAAGAGGATGCTGAGAAATTATTAATGGTGTTAGGTGCGATGATGGTACTGTGGTTTTGTTTTTTAAAACGTCACTTTCTGTAAGAGACACACACTGAAATATTTATGGTGAAATATGATTCATGTGTGGGATTTGCTGTACTAGTCTGCCTCAAAGCAAACCAAACGGTGGCAAAGGTGACAGTGCCTGACGTGGGATGACAGGTACAGGGGGACTCACTGCTCACTGCACTGCTCTCCATTTTTTTAATGTCCCTGTCATTTCCTATATGAAAAAAAAAAATTTTTTTTAATGTCTAGAAACCACTGCCTACAACACACAAAATATTTACAATACTTGATACAGAATACACTAAAGAAAGTAAAAACACTTGCACCTTGACCACATGTCCCACTTTACAGATCAAGGAGGCAAAAACAGCTTGCTGAGACCCTGAGATGCAGCAGTCTGTGTGCAGCCTTGCAGCCGGGGTTCAGGCGGGGAAATCGGGAAGGGAGTCCCAGCTGGGCTTTCCCACATGTGTCTCGGTAGGTGGTCTGGGTACAGACACTTTATTGGGTTGTCAGAAAAGTCATGATGTATTTTTTTTCTATGTTTTTCGTTGCAAAAATGTGTCATGACTTTTCCGACAACCCAATACTTAGATGGCTGGGCTGGTTGAAGTCAAAATAAACAGATGGGAGGGGGAGAGAATCTAGTGGATAATTACTGCCAGGCTCACTGCCAGGTAGAACCAAAGAACCATGATATTTGCCCTAGTGTGCAAAGAGCACAAATTCTTTTCACTGGAAATGCATTTAAATGTCAGGAGCCGTGACTTATCAAACGGAATTTGTTGACACTAGAATAAAGCATAGTATCCTTGAGATTTTTCCTCAGAGAATACCTTATTCGCAATTCCAGGGACCTCGACACTGGGCCAAGCGCACAGAGCCATAAGAGTCACCTACTGTTACTGTGATTAAGCCTCGGTCTGTATTACCTGGCACTGTATTAACTCTTAGTTCCCAGGAAGAGTTAGAGAACAAGGCTGCATATGGACGCAGGAGTAAATCATTCTAGTGTGGCACTCCACTCCGGCAGACAGGGTGTGATACGGGTCTGTCCTTGCGCTCAGGGGGGCATGTGGAGAGCGGGGCCATGGCTGTTCACGGCACTGGAGCGCCCGCAGGGAGAGCTGATCCTACGCACAGCAAGAGGTGCTGCTGCGACACCCCACAGCTGGCACATGCGTTGGGAGGAGGCCCTCTCTCCAGCTTGAGTCCCCAAACTTGTGCTTTCTCCCCAAGAACATTTCCAATCCCAAATGAAACTTCTAGAGCCCCCAGGGAACTTTTCTTTTTTACAGCTCTCCTGAAACCAGCCATTCACACTTCCATTCTTTCGCACAGTCCAGCCCATACGCATTATAAGATTTGTAACTGGAGACACAAGAAATACATTAAAAAGCCATAAATGTCCTCCTTGATGATGTCACTGGCTTAGACTTCCAAGGGTTTTCTCCGAAGTGGACAGAATATAAACGGGGGCACTGGGACACTCCATAGGGTCCATGCCACGAGGCTTATGGGTATTATTTCATTTACTCAGTAAAGATGCTCACAAACTCAGTCATCCGCACAGGCCAGGAAGGCACTGCAATGCTGAACCCCCGAGAAGCTGGCCTCAGATGTTCCTGTCATTCAGGCTCTGCCAGGTGACCAGGCCACCACCGCTGACCAGCAGCGAGGCCTTCCTTCCTCCCAGGCTCCTTGGCGGCCGAGGCACGTTTCTCCACGTGATGGCCTCCTACTACATCTACATGAGGACCACGGCCGGAGAGAGGAGGTCAAGCCAGCCACGGCGCCCTCCAAGGCAAAGGGAACAGGGGAGATGCAAGATGCTCGGGACTCCTCACCTTTGAATCCCTCTTGGTCACCAGCGTGTACAAGGTCTTTTTATTCAAATCAAAATGGCTGCAGACGTCTCTGGCGGCCTCAGGACCCTGGGTCACCATGGCGGCCATCAGGTTCAGGCAAGCTCGAGCCATCCTGTGTAGGGACAACAGGAAAATCAGGCGTGTTGGACAGCAGAAGCACAAAGCCACCTGCACCCCCAGTTGTGGTTTGCCATCCCCAAACCAGAAAAAGGAAGGAAGGAGACATGCTCTTAAAAAAAAAAAAAAAAATCGTAACAAAAACTCGAAATGAAGCAAAAACAAAACAACAACAAAGTCTGAGAAGGATCCAAAAATACAAAACACAAGTTACAAAGAAGACAGCAATCTCTCTGTCCAGTAAATCACCCTGTAGTGAGAGCTGCTCCGCCCCCACCTTTGCAGGGCACACAGGAGGACTCCTCCGTAGTGGGCGTCTCCAAAAGTGAGCCAGTGGCTGCCTTTCCATTCTGCAGGCACCCAGAAGAACCTGCAGTTTACTGAGCACCTACTACATTCTAGGCACTGCTCCAGGTGCTGGGAAGACAGCATTTCATGGCAGTCCAGTCCCCCACCCGCATGCACCTTGCATTCTAGTGGAAGGAGAAAGATGGTCAACAGATTGATAGAGAATATTACGTCCAATGTATAGCTGTACAAATAGATGTACAAAAAGACATTTTCCTCTCCAGGCTAAAGGGACAGAGAGTGACAGTGGACATAGGATGGCCAAAAAAGGCCTCCCTGAGAGGACACTCCTGCAAAGCCCTGAAAGCGGAAAGGGAGGGAGTCTGTGATGTCCCTGGAGAAGGGCCGCTGGGGCAGAAGGACAAGCAATGATGAGGATGTCCAGGGCGTTGCCAGGACAGCAAGGAGAGCAGGGCAGGAGTGAGGGGGACTATGACAGTGAGGGGCCAGTCAACAAAGAAGGGGCAGAGCCACGGTCACAGAAACCGCGCAGCTCTACTTAGGGAGTGGAGGAAAGGTCAATGGCACTCGTGGAGAGCGGAATGCAGACCAGGCCCAAGGCTGGTCCTGCCACGTGAGGCGGGCAACTCACCTGTAACCTGAGGCATACAGGGACTCACAGATGAGCTTCATGTGGTTATTCATTAGCTTTTTCACAATGTTGGTCCCCACAACATGAAAATGGGAAAGGTCACTTGCTGTCCGCAATAATATGGCCTCAAAAGCTTGAAATATTAATAGCATCTGTAAAGATAGAATCGAAACACTCATGAGTCATTGCATTTCTTTTCCCACCTCTACATATCTGCACCTCTTATCTTAGCCACAGTCACTTGCAGGTTTAAAACCTTCAACTCGCAAAATGAAGCCTGCCCAGATCCTGTGCCACAGGCAGGAAGGTGGCAGCTTAGCAGGCTGCCCTGCCAGGCTCCTGGCTCTGGCATTAGTCTTGCTTCCACAGACTAGTTAAACAGAGAAGTGCTTGCTTCCAACTACACAAAATGAAAAGAGGAAATTCTATTTATGATTGGACCTCACTGCTTTGGGGATATTCAGGTCTACAGCCTTACAGCAATAACCCTGAGATTTCAATAGGTTCCAAATATCCCCAATTTGGAACCTCTTTGGACCAGAAAACAACCGTCAGCTCCATATGTGTCTGAATCTGTGACACACAATTTTTACCTATTTCCCTTTTGTTAAACCATGTCAAAACCTGGTGCATGCCGATTAAGAATCTACGATCCTTCCTTCTGGTGTTATTCGCTGATAAGAAGTTAGTGCTTTCCACAAAAATGCCTTCAAAGGCCATGATGCAAAAATAGATGTATTCCTATAACATAGGACCAAAGCACTGTTTTCTGTAGAAAGCTGGCAATGTCTTGGAAATTTATATCACATTTCTCTTCATCAAGCTTAACATAGTAGCAGCATTCACTTTTTCTTCTCTTCATCAAACCAGGTGAAGAATAACATACCTCACTTTCAGGTCGCTTCTCCCCACTCAGGAGCTGGAAAATCTCTGCACACTCAACAGAAATCTTGATGTACCCTTCCACGACATCATACGCGTCTTCTCGCGGTAGCTTCTTGGCAGCAGAGACAAACGATTCCAAGGCTGAAACAGAGTTTTGTTCAAAAGTTAACAAGGACAGTCTCCCTAGAAACAATCACAACTGCTGCTGTGACAGAGGGAGCTGTCTAGCAGGAACACACAGGTGATTGGAACTGCCACTTACGGAGATGGAAAACCCAACAGTGATGGGAAGATAGGGAGATCAAGAGTTATGACACTGCCTTTTCTCTAGCGCCAGTGAAGTCATGGGCAACCATTTTCAAAGGAACTGGTTTAGAGCAGAGCTCTTCTTGATCCAGGGATTCTCCCTCATCTAACCCTGCAGCTCTCTTCTCCCCCTCCCCACATGCAGGGGGTATAATCAGATGATACAGAATATGTGGTATATCTATACAGAGAGACATATACAATGGAATATTATTCAGCCTTAAAAAGAAGGAAATTCTGCCTTTTGCGACACATGTGGACACTGAGGGTATTAAGTGAAGTAAGTCAGAAATAGAAAGACAAATACTGTACGTTCTCATTTACGTGGAATCTAAAAACATTTAACTCATAGAACCAGAGAGTAGTGGGGGGTGGCCCGGGGCAGGGGGGTGGGAGAAATGGGAGATGCTGGTCAAAGGTACAAACTTCCAACTATAAGATGAGTAAGTTCTGGGGATCTAATGTACACCATGGTGACTCTAATTAACAGTACTGTAGTATATACTTGAAAAGTTATTCACAGAGTAGATCTGAAATGTTATCACCACAAAAAAAAAAAGGTAATTATGTGAGAGGATGGTGGTGTTAACCTTACTGCTGTCATTTCACAATATATACATGCATCAAATCATCGCAATGTACACCTTAAACTTACATGTTTTATGTCAATAATATCTCAATAAAGCTGAAAACAACACCACCACCTTCCCTAATGCCTGCATGAAAACAAAACCCCCTAACATCTATCAGCTCCACTTCCCTGTGAGGGGATCCTATCACAGGAACTGATGAGAACATATCAAAAGGGAGAGAGAATCCAAGATGGAGAGATCGGATTCAAACACAAGTCCAATACAGCCTCACAGGAGAGTCACTTTCACCCACTGCCACGTCTTCCAGCCACTTCACCTCCATACATCCATCGCCTGTCAACCCGTCTCCATCTGAAACCTATTTAAATGCAGCATCTGAACGTCATGAAGCTCTCGGAGAAAAACCGTGAATATGTATATGTTTGCAACCTTTTAAACAAACATGCTCTTTCTTCTGCCAAAGAGGTTCCTGTCCCTGTCCTGCTCTATCCTACAACTCTACTGAAAAGCCACTTCCTCAGGGAGCCTTCTTTGATCTCCCAGATTAGACACAGACCTGCAGGCACCAGATTTTATTGACTGATATCTCCCTTCCCCACCTGACTATTCCTAAGCTCCACGATGGCAGAGGAAGGGTCTGATTTTTACTCACCATTTTATCTCTCTTCTAGCAAATAATAGCACCTAACAAATAATGAATAAATGAATGAACGAATGAATGAATGAAAGAATGAATGAAATGTACAATTGTACTAAAGCAGGTATCATCTTCCCAGCACTGGCTAGCAGTTGCCGGTATCAAACATTTAAAAACAAAAACTGGAAACTGAGGATCTGCTGGGCCATTAACTTAATAATTTCTTTAACTTAGGAGAAACACTGTCAGTTTTATTTTGACTCAGTACCGGTGTTTCCACATACTAGCATATTCATATTTTGTTTTTTCCTTATACCCTCCGTACTTTCTAACAGGTTACATGGCATTGTGAAGGGTGGTCACACTTTTCAAAGAGTGAAATTATAGACTCTGCTCCATAGCAATCACTAACTAGTCCAATCCTGGTCAACTGACAAGCCCATGTGGGTGGCTTCGCGTGGCAATTTACTCCATGTTATCGGGCTAGGGGAGTGTTGAAGGATCGACGCTATTGCTAACAGCGCTGACAGCCATAGTACTAGAAAGCTGTCTCACTGAACAGCCCCGAGTTGACTTACAGTCGGGACTCCATAAATACTCATCGGTGAGTGAGTAGCACACTTATTTACTCTCTTAACAATTGCAATAAAGAGGTTTTAGAGACTGCTGAGGGATGCTGCTCGGGCAAGGGGGGTGCGTGGTTGCAGGGAACTGTCACAACCAAACGCGTCAGGGCCCTTGCACCGCTGACAGCCCAGGGCGAGGACGTGCTGCGCGCAGTCCCGGGGCGGCCTCGGGAAGCCCTATCCCCGAGGCCTCGGTTTCCTGTATGCAAACCGGAACCTGAGGCTCTGACCCTCGGCGACCGAAAAGCTGCAGAAAGGAGGGGCTGTGTCTAGTGCACGGAACCCCCTCTCAAACCCAAGCCTCACACACACACACACACACACACACACACACACACACGTGTGCTCCCCGTCCCGGGCCGGCCCCGCACTCACCCTGCGCGGCGCCCTGCGGGTTCCTCAGCTGAGCCTTGAAGTGCACGCCCGTGAGCTCTTCGGCGCGGGCCCTCTTGCCTGCGCCCTCGGGGGAAGCCGCGCCGTCCTGGCCGACCGGGGCCTTCCTCTTGGGGACCCCCATGGCCGAGAGGGCGGAGGCGCGCCGGGATCCACACCTGGGGACTTGGCAGAAAGACACCCGCGGACAGCAGAAGCGCTCCCAGGGCCCACACGTGCGCAGGAAGGGGCGGGGCTGGAGGAAGAGGCGGGGCCTCGGACAGTAAGGCCGGCGGAAGGGGCGGGCCCACGGAGGAGGTGATGTGATTGACAGAAGGGGCGGGGCCTGTGGAAAGGGTGGGCGGGCAGAAGGTCGGAAAGCAGTCAGGCCTCTTGGGTGCTGCGGGTTACGGGCTCTCGGCGTTCTCCCTGTTGCTGCAGTCCCCGCAGGCTCGCTCTCCGCCAAGGGCGAGCGGACACTCCGCGACACCACCTCCCAGCCGTGGCGGGAAGGACCCCACTGGCGCGCGCCTCTTGCCCCCGTCGGCTCTCTCAGGGTCCTTGGCAGGAAGAACCCCCAGATCCTCCGCTCTCGAAGGGCGTGAGCCCCAGCTCGTCGGAGCAGCACAGTCTGCTCAGTTCTTGACCTGAGGGCGCCCTAACGGTGTCGTTTGAAGATCTCGCTTGACACACACCGGGATTTGATGCTTTGCCTCTTCGGGGGCCCTGCGAGATGGCCGGGAGGGTGAATACCCCGAGCTAACTGCCTAGCGGGTGGATGCGGGGAGGTCCCCGCTCGGGCACCTGGCTCGAGGGTCGTGCTGGTGCCCCTAACCCGGACCTCGAATTTTATCTCCCAGCCCGAACCAGACTGTTTTGTCTAGTGTGATGTTGCCCCAGATTGACCTCCGCCCCAGGTTTCCCCAAACTGATGGGAGCACTTGAGCCCTTTCAGCCCTGCAGGGTGCCAGGAGAGAATCAAATGAAGTAATGTCTGTGAAGACGCTTCGTGGACAGTGTGGCGGCCTCCACACCTAGGTTCTCGTCATTAAAATGGAGGAGACAGCAGAGCCAGCCCTACCTAATCGTCGGGGCTATCCTGAGAAAGGGATGCACTGTATGGAAAAACGGCTTTGACGGGGGAAAAAGTACTGTGTGTGTTTATACGATGTGATTGATTTGAGAGCCATGTTCAATGCTCTGAAATAAAATGCAGGCATACATAAACAAGTAAAAACAGGCTGGTGAATTTTTTAATATGACTTCATCAATACTTGGTTATGTGTTCAAATAAATCATGAACCAGATCATTTGGTGAGTAATTTGGTCGTTCCTGGAGTTCTCTGTCAAGTTGGCCTGTAGTCTGAGGAAATACTATCTTGTGTTCTGTAAGTAGATGTATAATGCACATCTGAGAGGTGGTCTTTTGTGGCCTGTTGGAGTTTGAGTCTCGAGCAGAAAAAGCCCATGGGGTTGACCGTGAGCCTCTGGCCTGGCAAGACTTGTGACTGTGGAAATGCCTGTGTCGTCAGCAGGTCGGACAGAGGTAGTCACCCCAGCAGATATGAGTTGATGCAGCAGTATTAAGAGACAGGGATACACTGAAAATTCAAGCTGTAAAGGGCATCACTCGTATTAGGAGCGACAGACTTAATTCTGACTGATTTCCACACTGGTTCTCTTCTGTGGTTAATTGCCAGCCACCAAGTTTGTTTCCAACCGGAGAGGCCCTGACCAAAGAGGCAGCAGGGAGAGGTAGGAAACTGTCAAAAGCCCTGTATCCAGTTTCTGCCTGTGTGACCTTGGGCAAATCATCATCTCTCTTTACAAAGATATCAAAGGGTGAAGCAACTTGTCAGTATAACCCAGCTTGTAAGTGACTGAGCCACTCATCCAGTGTATCCTAACCCAAATTTAAAAACAAAGAAAGAACTTGTCAATACCCATCCCTGCCTTAACCAGTGGCATACTTGATGAGGTGTATGTCTCAGAAGGAGAAATGGATGCTTCAGACTAAGTCAGCTTGATGCCATGAATCATACCAGGTCACTAACCTCACTTGCTTGGATATCAGGCTCATAAACCAATTTCTGGTCAGTGACATGTCTTTCTATGTCAAAGGCCTGCATGGAGAGAAAGGATCCAAGAACGTTCTGTCTATTGAAGATAAGCATCAGTGTTGCTAGGACATTCTAAGCTGTATCCATTTTAGGGCCTTTTCACTCGCTGTTCCCTCCAAAACTCGGCCCAGACCTCGTGTGTCTCATACTCTCACTTCATGTGCAATCTTTTTATTGATCTATCACTCCCTATCTTCTTACCCTCTTCTATTTTTCTTATTATTGCCTTTAATCACCTACTGGTAATATTACATATTCATTTGTCAAACTCCTTTACTAAAATGTGCACTCTATAATGGCACAATACCAAGTGCAGTGCTCCGCTGTCACTGGCACATCATAGAACTCCATAAATATTTGTGGAGTAAATGTCTACATAAATATGAATATAAATGAATGCCTAGATCTAGGTATTGAGCTTGGTTAAGGTTGGCCTATCCTAAAAGGCAGGTTAACCCTTGGAACGCTGTCAAAAAGCCTCAAGATGCAGGTTTTTGAGTCTACAGGTCTGTGAACTGGCCCCGGGACTGTGGTGAATTAGCCAAGGGAAGCATCCCGCCTCTAAAAGTCAACCAGTTCACCTCCAGTAGCCACACTTCTCGTTCACATCTGTTAAGTGTGGATGTTTATTCCTATTTCAATCTTTTAAGTTTAAATTCAAGCTCTGGAAAGAGATAAAAGGAGAAACTCAATTAGAGCCCATATTAAAGCATATTTATCAGGGACTCTCAGAATGTGCGAAGTAGACATTGCTGTGCATAAGATAACATTATCTTGGCAGTTTACCCTGCATTATTTCATCTGGGTAAAAGCCCGTTCATGCAATCACATTATAGAGAGGAGAGGTATGGAATTACTTTTTCTATTCTGTACAAATTTTAATCTCTTTAGTGATGAATGCTTTAGTGTGGCATTTACTAAGATCAAGGCAGTTCCATTATCCTTTTGTTTAGCAGTGAGAAGAATGAAGCATTCTTTCAAAGACAGTCACATGAAGTCCGGTGACAGTGTCCATAGGCTACAAGATAAGTAAAGCTTCTCCTTAATTCAAGTCAACAGAACGCCAATATCCACTAGTATTTGCTATGTTCATTGCATTTTACAACCTGCCATAATACATTCAAAAAAGTATAACACAGTGTAGCTACTCCCAACGGACTTACAGTGTCACTGAGAATATGACACACCTGTTAAGTTCAGTAGCAATAAAGAACTTAAGCAAGAACCCAAGATGATATGAGATGTAACAAGGCCGCATGATAATTACCAAATGAATTATTTGAGCACTAGACACATCACATTAGTATGATTCAGGTTAGATCATTGTGGGGTTCTTACTGAAATGACAGTAAAGCAGAGAATAAAGCAGAAGCATTGATATGCCTTTTCCTCTTCTCTGAAGCAAAACTGAAGATGAGCTGTTCCCTTCTTGTCCAATATGGAATAAAATAGCCATAAGGGTGAGGCTAGTCTTGATAAAAATCACAACGTAGATAAAGTTTGTCTTCTTAAATCTCTTCACTCTCTGGTCTCCTTCCTCCCCACACATGCATACGTAGCACCTTCTTCCCAAAGCCCCAAGCACTGCAGATTTCCCAGAAGTCAGCTCCCTGGAAATTTTTGCCTCCAAGAACTATTCCTTTTTCTGCCTCCCTCCCTAAGCTAAGTGCCCCTTTTCCCCCACCCTTCTTCCAAACCTGTTCCCTTACAAAAATGTTTTTAGATAGCCATGAGAAAATAAAGAAATTTGATACATTCACTATAAGGTATTAGAGAACCATAATTTACAGCCAACCCATGAATATTTTTACACTTTAAAAAAGGACACTTGGAGATCAGAGCCCCCAAATTGAGTTTCTAGTACGTAGTTGTGCTTTAGTCACTGTGACACTGAATGGGGGGTGGGGGTGGCATGGAGGGGACAAAGAGGCAGGTCATGACCAGGAGAAGAGGGGCTTCTGAACATTGTGTGTGCACCTTCCAGTGAATCCCAGCCATTGTCCCATGTGTTACATTTTATAATTTGGGGGCATGTCTCAATGTTTAAAATATACACTGGCACGTCCATTAGGGAAGGAGGCACTGATCCTGCCAGGACAATACCCACAGAGCCAAGCCTTGATAAATAGGTATTACATTGATGTTCAGGGTCTCAGACCGGACTACTCAAAAATACTAGGTTATTCTCCACAACTAGACTGAAGAACAAAAATGACAGCAACTTGTATGTTCCCCTTCCCCCAGTTCCCCAGCACTGTTCCCATCCCCCCAATTCCCCAATAAAAATCTTTAAAAAAAAATACTAGGTTATTGAGTTGATGGCCCTATTCTTTGAACAGCAAAATATAGCAAAATCAATACCCAATTTAGACATGAAAATATCTAAATGATAAATTTCATTTATCATTTCAAAGCTGTTGTAAAGACTGGTCTAACACCTTATTAGATATGAGAAAATGCATAAAGTTTGAATGACAAGGTATTCAAATAAATAGGTAGTGAGAGAATTGTATACCCAGAAACAGGATACATGTTCTTTTTCAATAACATGGAAGAATCACAAAAATTAACTACGCTCCAGGCCACAAAGAAGACCTCGAAAAATTCTAAAATACCAACCTCATACAGACCATATTCTCTGACCAGCAAGCAATAAAATTAGACCTTGATAATAAAAGGATAAGTTTTTTAAATCCTATAAGCCTGGGAAGGGAAACAAAAAACTTCTCCTAAGTTATCGCTGGAAAGAATAAGGGAAATTATGAAAGACTTGGAATGCAATACAATGGAAAGTGTTAATCGGTGGTGGAGGAATGGTCTCAGAACTGTTTGTCTCAATTGACCACTTAAGTTTAATAGTAAAAGACTATTAATGATAATAATGCATCATAAAACTTCCAGAAGGAAGGGAGAATGTTTTGTGGACCATTCTTTTTCTCTTTTATTGTGTGTGTGTGTGTGTGTGTGTGTGTGTGTGTGTGTGAATTTTAAGTTATTAGTTTTTAAAATAAGTGCTTTTTAATGGAAACATCTTTTTTTTAAGATTTTATTGGGGAATTGGGGGAGGGAACAGCGTTGGGGAGTTGGGGAAGGGGAACAGACAAGTTGCTGTCCTTTTGTTCTTCAGTCTAGTTGTGGAGGA